TCTCCAAAATAAAAACTCAAATAAACCAACCAACCCTGAGAGACTCAAATATATTAACCTAATGAAGTTTGAATTTGCTCATTGTTCAGAGAGTGTTGGTTGACTGAAGTGGGGAGAAATGGAAAAAAAGGGAGATGGCGGTAGAATGGAGCCCTATAGACCAGGGTTCCTCAACCTTGGCGACTTGAAGGTGTGTGGACTTCAACTCCCAGAATTCCCCAGCCAGCATGGGGAAGTCACCACGGTCGAGGAACCCTGCTGTAGACAAATGGCTGACTGTAAGGATGAATGGAAAGACTTCACACTGCAGTATTTGTTGTGGTTTTTATGGGGCCGGTAGACACTATGTTTTATTCTAGTATTGAAGTTAGTATAGTTACTAAACATTTTTAAAGCAACCAAAGGTATGTCAGTACAACACTGTTCTTCAATAATTGTATTTATAGATGAGTTATATTGCCACACTATAGGTACGGTATATTGCTCCAGCAATAAAGAAAAACAATTAAACAAATCCACATGACTGTTCCAGTTATGCTATGGATTTGGGTCAGAGTTTGCCTTTTTTTTTAATGGGATTTTTCCCCCCATCTGTTTATTTATTTATTTTTACCTGGGATTATGTTTATACATAATGTAAAAGTTTGCTCTCAGCTTCATGAGCTTTGCTCTTCAGGCTGCTAAGGAATCCTTTACCAGTTCTTTTGCCCTCAGGATTGAATCAGGATGATAACCTTGAACCTAGAAACTGAGTGGGCCTGGCAGAACTTGCAAGAATTGCTTAAGGACTACTTCCTTTATAATTTAAGAATTCTGGAATCTAATTGCATTCATTTCACATGTAAATCCAGCAACGTAACAATTCCTTCTGAGTCACAAGCATTATCTTTGTATATGTGGTTTCACCGTATCACTGCCAAATCACTTGTTCCACATTGTGTAATCCTCTTGAGGTGAAATGAGTTGAGAGTATGCTCTCAACACTTTACTGGTTAAATTAGAAGCAAGTCTCACAACCCATTCATTTTTAGGCCATCCACAGGCTTTTTGCAGGCCTTTCAAACACCACAAAACAGTTTAGTATGTCATCCTTCTCTCTTTCTTAATCTGATAAAGCACAGGAGCACTGGCTAAAGAAGTGCTCATTCCATTCCTGCCTTTGCCTGCTCTGAAGCATTTATTCGAACAGGAAGATCCAGTCCCCCTCCCTGTCAGGTCAAGCTGGGGTTGCAGATCCTGCCACTTTTCACTGGAAGGGACAGACCACCACTTTCCACTGCCTGAAGTTGCTCATCTCCCTAGCCTGCTATGACACCAGCTTCTTTTTCTCCAGAATCAAAACCATATCCACCACTCAAAAGAGACTTCTCCCTTCTCCCTCTGCCCCATAAGAAGCTCTTTTTCAGCCCTTGAGTGAGCCATCCTTACCTGTAAAAACATACGTATTTCAGTTAATTGTCTCGCATAGGCACAACACAAATTTGGAATCTCTCCTACTCCTTGTAGTCAGTGGTAAAAGCCACTGGAGGATAGTAAGGTAGTTGCACTGTCAGATTGATCAAAACCCATCTCTGCCACTATTTTGTGACAGGGGCTTCCTGTGGGTTGATAGGATTTGATAGAAAACTCAGTGCAAAACACTACTTTAAACTTTTCCCTCCATTAAGAAACAGACAACATATATTTTCATTATCAGGTACATTCCTTTGTGAAGTTACTTACAGTTATACAAGCCAAGCTGGAAAGTGTCTTGGGTACTTTTACGGATAAGTAACAGAATCCTCAACCTGAGATCTAAAATACATTGAATCAATGTACAATCTAAAGCTTCTCTAAGCATGCATATGTTTGCAAGATATACTTTTAGCTTAGTGTATAGGTATACCTCTAAATACTCTTAACTGCTGCTCCCTGCAATTAAGAAAAGGCTTAAAGATGTTGAGCAGTAGTTTCCCTCGGTCAGTCAGGTTGACAGCTGGCTTTTTTCTGGCTGGTAAAATGTCTGTCATCTTCAATCCTAAGGGATCATCTGAGGAATAGAGACAAAGTCCTGCAACATCTCTTCATCTTTGCCTTTGGCACACTTCTCCTGATTGTTAGAAAAAAATCTTACCAGGATTGTTTCTGAGCCAGGAATAAAATAGCAGGCAGTTGCTTGAACCAGAGGTGAAGTTTATTGCTCAGAGTGAATGTATAGAGTCAGCTCTTGGAGGTGGCCTGCCGAGTCCTCCCCAGAAGCCCCTTATATAGAGAACCCTTGCTTTCATTCCTCAAAAGTGTACAGAAGCATCCCCTTTAGGGATTCCAAGAAAGCGCACTTAACTGGCATTCTGAAAGGGAGCACTCTGGGGTCTGGCACCCTGCTGAGTCACAGTTTAGCATTGCTGATTGAAAAGGTAGTCTCTCTTGGGGAAAGGATCTTTTCTTATTTACTCAAGGAGACCTCTGGCTAAGCTCAGCCTGGAAGGAATATTCACCTGGTTAGATTGGCATTTGCACTAAATTTTAATTTATTTAATGATTAATTAAATAATTAATTTAATTAATTGGTTGATTTAATAATTTAATGTTGAGCCCATTCTAATTTTTACCTTTTGCCCTGATTATGGTGGGAAGACTATATGGTGGGAGGACTTGATTTCTTTCCCCCATTATCATGTCTCCACCATTTCAGATGCCTTCCACCATCCCAGGAACAAGGCTAAACTTCAGCAAAGTAATACTACCCAGTCCATTTTAGGATTACCAATCATCCACGTGCTTTCCTAAAACCAACAGGCAAACTTCAACAGCCAGAGCTGTCTAGATCTAACTTAGCTGCTGGCCATTATACCTCTATTCTAATTTTCTGCCAGAGTTCATCCAGTAATTTTAAGATTCCACAGTAGCACTTCCTCCTTCTATGGTAACTAAACTTCCAATCTCAGCTTCTTTTATCAGTTAGCTAGGACAAAGGAAAGGAGAAGAGGACGGCAGAGGATGAGATGGTTAGATAGCATCACTGAAGCAATGAGCATGAAACTGAGAAAATTCATGGAGGCAGTGAAGGACAGGAAGGCCTGGTGCGATATGGTTCATGGGGTCACGAAGAGTCAGACACGACTGAACGACAACAACAAAGGATGAGATGGTTAGATAGCATCACTGAAGCAATGAGCATGAAACTGAGAAAATTCATGGAGGCAGTGAAGGACAGGAAGGCCTGGTGCGATATGGTTCATGGGGTCACGAAGAGTCAGACACGACTGAACGACAACAACAAAGGATGAGATGGTTAGATAGCATCACTGAAGCAATGAGCATGAAACTGAGAAAATTCATGGAGGCAGTGAAGGACAGGAAGGCCTGGTGCGATATGGTTCATGGGGTCACGAAGAGTCAGACACGACTGAACGACAACAACAACAAAGGAAACTGCAGGAAGCAGTCCAGGCAATTGCTGGGAGTCAACACTGACTTGAAAGCACATACACACACAAACAACAAAGAATTTGTTTAGGAGTCTGTGTAAACATATGGACAGCCAGCAGGAAACTGGCTGAATGCAGATTGTCACAATTTTATATATAAAAAAAAAGAATTAAAAGCCAAGGCACTATGTGGGTAACCAACATAAAGTACTGTGCAAAAGTTTTAGGCAGGTATGAAAAAATGCTGTAAAGTAAGAATGCTTTCAA